CTGGAGGTCACCTCCCTTCTTCCCATGTCATCAGAGCATAGCCTCTATATGAGGCCTCCCTCTGAAGTTTAAATCTTGAGAGGTATAAGGAGAAACCTATTGCAGATTAGGTTTCTGGTGGCTGAGTCCTGAGGTGGCTGTGATGGGTAACTGGGGACATGGCACGTAGTGTAGAGGGAACGGCCAGATGGTTCTAATGCCTAAAGCTTCCTTCCTAGCTCTCCTTTTTTTGAAGCTTGGTTCAAGCCCACTTTTGTGGGGTACTGACAGCATTTCAGTGGCTGCATTTATGCATAAGTTACCCGGGGTCATTTTCTGTTTGCATTTGAGGACACCAAGGGACACAGAAAGTGTGAATATGGCCTGGATTGTCAGCAACGGCCTCTCGGGAGGACATGGAGAATGTGGGACTTGTGACCTGGCTAGTTGGAGGTCAATGGCAGTAACACCAGGCACCACACTGATGGCTCAAAGAGCGTCAAGAAGCAAAACAACAAATAAAATGATACTTCCTTGCTACCTGAGAAAAACATGATCTCTGAAGACAATGCTTTAGGGTACCCTGGGAAACACTCCATAAGACATAAGGAAGGGTCAAAGTGCAAGGCTGGGGTTTGTCTACATATAACAGAACTGGAAGCTTAAACAAAGAGCATAGCAAACTCAAATCCTTAAATTCTATTTCAAGACAGAGAAAAATCTAGCAACTTTCCATGATTGTTCTAAAGCATTTATCTTCTATACTCTGGGGTAGATCTAAAGTCTAGATCCAGAAGGTTTCTAATTATGTCAATTGAATTTACATTTTCTCCTTGTAACTTAGGTGAAACAAAAGGAATAAAGAAGAAAAAAAGAGTAATTTCACAGTGAGGATTTATTAGAGGAGGGAAAGGACTCCAAGAACCTCAACTTCCCAGAACCTTCAAATTTCACTTTAAGTCTCTCACACATGGTCTGGTGTGACCACTTCTGTTAATTGAAGCCACTGTTTATCACTCACCTGAGCGTGGTTATATTAAAACAAGAGCCCGTTGGATTCCCTCTTTATTGCTGACAATACATAAAATGGATTTGAAAAGCAGGAAGAACAGGTACTCTAGATACCAGTGTAGATCATATATGCCAGAGGTTGATAAACACCATGGAAATACAGAAAATACTACTTTAGGAAAGTTTCTGGAAGTTGGCACATATACCCTCAGTGTCATCCCCTAAACCTAAAAGCAAATTCTAATAGATGGAGAGCCCCTTTGAATTTTGGGGGCAATATTTGCTAGACTTTGTATGCTTTCAGTAATCATTTACCTGTCTGTCTAAAAGGCTTCCAGTTTTAAGTAGGAACTGGAGCAAGAGAATATTATCCACATGGGTCAGGAATTAGTACTGACCATATTGCTACCTGGCATTTTTCATCTAGCAGATCCAAGGATGCTTAAAGAATGTGTCATAACTCAGAAGACTGAATGGAACCCGCGCAATTCTGCATAACCAAACCACAGAGAAAGCATTGTCATGTAAAGTCATGCCTTGTTGTTATTCTTTTACAAAGTGGATCAGGACTTCGTTCCATGCCTTAATGTAGATTAACCGTTTGCTAGTTCAGAAGTCACAGGTAAGTTTTTTGTTTGTTTGTTTGTTTTGTTTGTCTGTTTGTTTGTTTGTTTGTTTTGAGCAAGGGGCCCACAACCTACTATGCTTATTCTGGATACACTGTAGCGAGAGCTCAATACAATGTGGCTAAATTAATTAATTGAATAAAGCAAATCACTATGGAATGGAATTACAGCTCCTTGAAGTTCCATTTTCCCTGATATTACATTTAGAAGAGAAATTCTTCAGGTGGCAGAGTTTGAAAAGTATGCCTCATCCAATTGTCTGAGAGAAGAATTTAAGTAGATCATGGGCAATTAAAACTAGTATGGCCCTAAGGAAGACAGAGCAGCATGGGGGAGAAAATGTTTTGGAGAAGCTGTATTTGAAAGAACTCTCAGAATGAATACGGGACACACATGTCTGGGTTTCACTTAAATACTCACCAAGAAGCTCCATTGTAGAGGTAGTTCTTAATAATTAGGGATACGGGCCGGCCCGGTGGCGCACTGCTACAGTGCGCCGCTTGGGAAGCGTGATGGCGCTCCCACTGAGGGTTCGGATCCCACATACAGACCGGCCGCTCACTGGCTGAGCGAGGTGCGGGTGCAACACCGAGGGTTGCGATCCCGTTGCCGGTCCCGGTCCGGTATGGGCGCGACACTGAGGGTTGCGATCCGTTGCCAGTCTCGAAAAAAGACAAAAAGGAAAAAAAATAATAATTAGGGATAAAGTGACATTTCAATAATGTGTACATTTGTGTGTGTGTTGTCATCTGGGAGGTGGAGCATCTCTGGAATTTACTGGTCGTACATATTGCTTAACTTTTAAATAGCAGGATTTTGTTCTGTGACCCTCTAGAAAAGTTGATTCATGAAGGTTTTTGTACCCCTGGGATTTTAACCCTTTCTCTGGCCATGGGTTAAAAGGAATACCTTCCCAGTTTGCGGTGTGCCTTTCCAGCTTTTTACATGTTCTTGTTTCTGTTTTGCCTACAGGGTGATCATTCATTTCCTGGTGGCCTCTGACTGTTGTGTCATAGAAACACAGTTCCAACGTCAATACTATGAAACTATTTACTATGGAGCTTCACATTTAACGTTTAATATTTGATCTATCTAAAATTCCCTCTTCTAAAAAAAACCCAAAATGACCACTTCCCTCATATATTCTGCATCCAAACACAAAGGGCCACATATATGACTGCGCTGATACGAAAAACACAGAATAGGCAAATTCATAGAGACAGAAGGATCAGTAATTACCAGGGGCTAGGAGTAGGGGAATGGAGTGACTGCTTGTTGCGTGCAGGATTGGTGAAATGTTCTGGAACTCATGGTTGTGAGAAATACATAGCATTGGGAATGCACTAGGTGTCACTGAACTGTCCATTTAAAACTCACTTAAATAATTTTATGAGAGGTAAATTTTATGAGATAAATTATGGCAAACCTTGAGAATGTGAAAGAGCAAAACAGCAAAAAAACAATGCAGTGGAAGGGGAGGGGAGGGCACTGCTGGGGCAGGAGCTGGCATTGACAGTGGTGCTGTCAGAAGTAGGGTCCTGTGGGCCCCATAGTCGGCCTCAACCCACCCAGTCCTCTTACCAGGTTCTTGACTCTGCCACAGGAAAGAGTTCAAGGACAGAGTCACAGTCAAAAGTGAGAATAAATTTAACAGATAAGAAATATAGGTTCCACAGAGAGAGTGTGGCATAGCTCCAGAGACTGAGCAGGACCCACACCAAGTTTAACACAAAAGTAAGTTTAGTACAGACATCAAGTCTAACACAAAAGCAAGAAAAACGTACTTAAAGTTCAGTACAAAGTGCAGGCTGGCTCAAGAGTGAGCAGCTGCTTGCTGAAAGTAAGTCTGATACAAAGTCAAGTATACACACCTCAACTAGCCAAGTGCAGGCTGCCTCCAGGAGAGTTAGCAACAACCCCACCCTTGGCTGGGATTCGGCTTTTACAGTTTCACTATTTATTGAATATTCAGTTAAGGGGGTGGCTCCCAGTTATGTAATATTTAGTCTTGCACATGCTCAGTTGTTCTCTTCCTGGAGCATGTTCATTGGCCAGACCCTATCACATGCACTGTGCTCTATTGAGCATGCCCAATCACTGGATTTGCATAAGCCAGCCCCTTGTGGTCTCATTTTCCCATGTTGGTGCTGAAAATAGGTCTAAATGGCAACAGTAACTGTCCTCCAGGGGAGAGCCAAAAAGAAGGTCCTAAAACCTTGGGGAGTGGCTTGTCACCCAGAGTCATGTCCTGTAACCTGAACCGAGGGAAACTGAGCACCTCCTATATCATTCCCCTCTCAGAGATCCATTCCTTTGATTTTAAGTGAAGCTGAGGGATGCAGGTCTGTCTTTGTTAGCTGCTTCAGGCTGACTGTGGACCATAGGCCATGCCTATCTGTGAGTAGAAATCTCTAACTTCCTGATCTAGAGGCCCCAGCTCCATTTTAGGTGGTTGGGTCAGTACAAGGTAGAAGCTGCATAGAGCCATCATCTTTATGTGAAA